GAAGAAGGAAATTTCACATCTGAAATATGGTATGTATGAGTTTGTTTTTTACTATATATTCATGTGTGCTACTTAACTCACCGAACGTTAGCGGATATTCATTTTCGAAATTGTGCTTCGGATGATTTAAATGATCAAAGGATACTCGAACTCGTCTTCGACTCTCCTCGCTGTTTTTGCAGTAGGGGGTAAATTATTTCAATATTTGTATTCAATGAAAGGTAATGCAAACAGGTGAAGTATAATTGTGCTTCGGCGTGATAATGACCCTACATATCAGGCTGAAAAAAATGAAGACAGTACACTAAAACAGGGACAGGGTATGTTAGTGTGCTTGCCTCCTTGTGATATCGTGGATATGATGCCGACTTCATAGTGCTATCTCACTCAAATGCCATGTCGAAGGCACCCAGCACAGCATTTGGGTGAACCAGTTGTTGCTCTTTAACAACCATATAATTGGCATCGTATCTTATATATTTATTTATTTTTTTTAAAGACTTATTTTTTTTAGTCTGTCATTTCAGCGAGGAACCTTTAGCTGTAATGCTGTTTCGATTCCACAGTTTAGACATGTTCGGGCCTATTTCCTGTGACCATACAAACTACGAAACCCTGCTTCTACGGAAATGTATACAGATGAAAGAGCTAATGGTAAGGGGAAATGTAACACCACAATGCAACTATATGGCAAAAGTTATATGTGTTTATATATGTTTATATATCTTTTTATATCTTAAAAGGCTTTTTCTTGATAATGAAGATGATTAGAATGATGGTATTTTGCAAATTCAATACTGGGTAAATAGGGGGCAAAGAATGATGATATTTCGGCAGTAGCATACATGGATAAAGGGATATTATGTACAATTGAATGAACGACCATTACTTATATTCAAGGTCAAAAGGATCATATGTTATAAACCTTAAAACAAGTTATTTGAATAACCAAACGGCTTTTGGCTATGGAATTCGGTTAGTAACATGCTTGGATGAAGGGTTATCAGGTTTGTTCAAATGATTGTCATTAACCTATATTCAAGATCACAAAGTTTAAGTTTGTTTCACCTAAATAAACTTCTTATAAAAACCTAGAGGCTAAAGGTGATGAAAAATTAACATGCAAGGATGGCGGGCTTTTTAGTTAGTATGAATGCATAACCTCCACCAAGACCGAGACCCAGTGTAATGACAATAGGCCAGTAGCTTTCGTAGATGGAGAGCTATCAAGTTGTTCAAATAATTGACATTTACTCTAATGTTAAGGTCCCGAGGATTGAATGCTTTAAACGACGGCCGAAAAATCAAAAGGTCTATCGTGATGACATTTTGTCAGTCGCATGCGTTAAAGGGCTCTCATATTTGTTTAATATTTTTTTGTTTGTTTTATAGGGTAAAATGTATTAAAACATTTAAATTTAAACAACCTCTTTTGAATAATCAAGAGACCTCGGTCATGATATTTGATATGTGGCTTAGTGGTGCAATATGCCCACAAGTATTGGATCTGAATGAATAAACTATACCAATATGTACAGGTCAATAATAAAACCCGTTTGAATCTTCCAACAACGACCTTAAAGGTGTCGATTGATAAAACTGTTCAGTAATACGTCGTTTAAAAATTCACAGATGTTGGATGAATAACAAGGTAGCGATACTGGTCCGCTAGAGCTTTTGTTCCATAAAGATACATAATGTATCGTTCCCCCATAAGTCCTGTCAACTTTATCAGTAGGACATGAATCCTATATAATGCATGAAAAGTAATAATTGTTGTAAACCATTGATCGCATAAAAATAAATCTTCAGCGAAAAATTGGAAAATTGTTTTAATTTATATTTTTAACGTTCATGCAATATGACGTCGTCTCTTCAATAGACTCAAACATTCCGTTTTCCTTTCAGGTTTCTGATGTCAACGGTTCACGATCGTACGTGGAAGGTATTATTCTATGGAAATGCTTTAGATTTTCGATAATGTCGAAAAACATTCTCCTTTTCATATATTGTATAGTATTTCTTATGGTAAAAGATACGATTGGGAAAAGATTTATATGTTTGTTGAATGATAAGGAAAGACAAAGTAGACTTCGGTTGAACGTATAAAATACATATAGCACTTAATGGAGTATCACTTCGCTTACATTGGAAGCATATCAGGTCAGCGGACAAAGTTCTTGATTACCTTTTTAAAGTGTCTAATGAAAGTAATCAAGGAAATATCAGTAAACCGGTTATAAGTTTACCAATAAATGTAGCAGTTCCTACATTATACACATATGTAATACAAGTAATAAAGGACAAAATTTTAACGCAAAAGGTCATTTGATCAATTTTATTAACAACCGTTTTCTGCATAAAGTGGGAACAAACTAACTTTGCTAATGTACCGGGTTCTGTTAGGATTGACTAGAAGGAATAAATTAGTAAAACATCTAGAGATAAGAGTTACCTATACCACACGTGGTACCCGTCATGACGTCACCAATCGAATCTCAGACGAGTATGTAGGTCAGCTCAACGATCTAGCACAAAGTGTGTAAATCTTCAATTAGGTTAAACCTAAAAAACTCATATTTTGATCTAACATCATGATGACGACTATATGTTTTTTGTTGGGAAGAAAGAAGCCTCTTAAAAAGATTACCCTGGTTTAGTAGTTTAAGTAAGACATATACTATATCCATTTCCCGAACCTGCAAGGATATAGGATTAGGCAGGTATTTTATCGCTTTTCTCGAATTTATAGACGATCTTGGAGAAGACACTGCAGCCGGTCCGTCACAGCCCAAAGTCAGGCGAGTGGACAGCACATCTCAACACTGCAAAAACACAGCCGTCCTGTCAGTGGTATAACCGATATTTGACCTGTTCTGTTAACTATTGTTTTTCATTAAAAGTCAAATCACTGACAATAATAATTGTCATTTGGAGTTATAACTCACAAGATAGTATGGTTTGAGTATATGTGTCACAGTTTTATATATAGCTATTAATTAATGACACAACCAATATCGTCATCAATATTGGCATAATGTATCATTTTCAAATAATTTTCCTCGTATGGAAACCAACATCTGCTGAAGGTTACATAATACATTCCAAAGCATCATTTGTTATCACTTGATTTAAATAATTTCATTTCTGATTCAGAATCAACATGCATTTGTGACTCTGTACCTTTTGGAGAAAATGTACCCATATCCACCCCTCTACCATTCGAAAGACATATGCATGATGGTAGAAGCCATGCTATGTTTGGGTGAAATAGAAAGGAAACTGGTAGTATTCCCCGGTTGTTATATAAATGATCTGTTTGATGAGAGATGGGATGTGTTTACATCAGAAATTCAAGAGAGTATACGAAACAAAAGTTTCGTTGAACTGTACTCGACAGTTTTCTTAAAACATTGGAATGCTTCCGACACATTCTACAGCAACCGAAACAGGAGCCTTTTGACTCTGCTGACTACAACGGAAGACTTACCGATAGGCTGGCGGGCACAGTTGTGTGGAAATGTGGTGTGTTCTGCACTCAAGATACAATCTTCTTTGGACTTGTACTCATCAGGTATGATCTGATATACTTTCTTGTTATTGTCAATGTTTTAAAAACATAATTGTTTACCATACGAAGTTGTCGTGTTCGTGTCTCTGTCTTTCGTCGGTTATATTGCTTTATATTTAACATGGAAAATGAAACGTTGTATTACTTTATAATGCATTGAAAAGACCAAATTTGGCATGCTTTTTGTCACAATGTGGTGATAAAGCATAACTATGGTGATATAGTGTAACTATGGGGATATCGTGTAACTGTGGAGATACAGTGTAACTATGGTGATATAGTGTAACTATGGGGATATCGTGTAACTGAGGAGATACAGTGTAACTATGGTGATATAGTGTAACTATGGTGATATAGTGTAAATATGGCGATAAGGCGTTACTGTGCTGATATACTATAACTGTGCTGATATAATTTTACTGTGGTGATTTAATTTAACTATGGTCATATGATTATAGTTTAACTACAGTTGGGAGCAAACTTAACTTGGTATCTAGTGCACTTCGTAGTGAACAAGGAAGTTCACTTGACAAAACATTGAAGTGCACTCCAGTTCACCTTAGTGTTTTACTTTAGTGAATATAAGTATTTTGAAGATGGTTCAGAGATTCATTAAAGATACTAGACGCTTTTACTAGATTACACTTACTTGTTTATCTATTTGCTGTCCACCATTATCATTTTAATTGCCGTTTTCTTTTTACAATCTAGTTTTTGNTGAACAATAAATATTCTGAAATGGAAACTTCAGTGTTAACTCCAGTGCACTACAGTGTTTACCAAAGTTTAAAAGACTGAAGTACATATTTCAATAATTGTTTATAATGAAATGGGTTCCTTTGTGATATAAAAATTAAAAGAGAATGAAACGAATCATTCAAATGAATATTTCATAATATTGAATAAATGATACACATTATTTTTTATGATAGCTGTACCATTTCAGAGGAAAACGTTTAAAAGTACACTCGATCATAGTTAAATTCACATCACATTTCATAACAATGTTGTAGTGTCAGGATGGGGGATCAGTATCTGGTGTGTGATATGGGTAAATTTGGTAAGTTTTCCTATATTTTTATACTTTTTATAAAAGGTTTCTCTTTAATACGACATCAATAGAGTAATTCGCTTCTTTGTTTGATATGAGCAAGTCAAGAAAAGATAAAATTCCAGATTTTTTTTTTCCTATATTGTATTCTTATAGTAGACATGTATTTAAATATACGTTCTTACTAGAAAAACACAGACTTAGAGAACATCTTAATTCGTACTAGATAACTACTCACTTCCTACATTTTTAAAAAAAGTTAACTTGATAACTTGATTTACAAAGAGACAATTGAAAACAATTATGACATCCCCCTGAACATACATATCATTGGTGCATAGGCACGTTAAATTTACCTGTAGAAAGTCAATTTGGATACCTACATATTCAATTGTTACTAAATACATGTTTTGTTGGAATTCAGATCTGCATTCCTGTAACTACATTTTATTGTTACCAATCATGAGTGAGACAATACATATATTTATAGTCTTTTTTTCTTATTCACAGTACATGCAACTACATGTACCTACATGAGCTTTCCATTTCTTTTTTCAAAATGGATATACAGAAATGACTCACTTTCATGTACTAATAATATAGTGAAAAGATTTTTATATTTAATGTAGACGTTATGCTGTTATAACTATAAAGGAACTTTAATGGTGATTATGTCTTTAGGACAAAGTATTATAAACTTTAAACCACCGATACATGCATATACATGTAGAATGGATCCAATTCGCTGCATGTGCTAATAATTTAATAGGTCATCATGCTCTATAGTTATTATGCTATTTTCATAAACTAAATCATTTTAGTATATGAATAGGTAACATTTAATATATTTTTTTATTGATTGAGCAGACGTGAGGGGAGAGAATCATAGTATGTATAAACCGATGAAAAGGCCAGATATATGATAAAGAAACTTACCTTGTGAAATGTAGTTAACTCCAGTGCACATTGCTGTGAACTCCAGTGCACATTGATGTGAACTCCAGTGCACATTGCTGTGAACTCCAGTGCACATTGCTGTGAACTCCAGTGCACATTGATGTGAACTCCAGTGCACATCAATGTGCAGTGCACATCGATGTGAACTCCAGTTCACTTCAGTGTTAACTCCAGTGCAAATCGATGTGAACTGGAGTTCACTTTTCTTGTTAACTCCTGTGCACTAGGCTACCAAGTTAAGTTTGCTCCCAACTGTATGTTGACCAAATGTAACTATGGCTCTTTAGTACTACCATTGTGATAGATCGTAACTATTGTGATATAGCGTAACTATGGCAGATGTAGTAACGTTTAACCATGGTGATATATATTAGTATCGTGATATAGTGATAAAATGTAGCTGCTGACAGAATGTACCTATGGTGATAATGTGTGACTTTGCTTATATAGTGTAACTGTGCTGATGAATAATAAGTGTGAGATGATAAAGCGTAACTTTGGTGATATAGTGTAACTATGGTGACAAAATGTTAAGTCTGGTTATATAGTGTAAATATAGCGTAACTATGGTGAAAGCATGTTACCGTGGTGATACATTGTAACTATGGTGATAAAATGTAAATGTGCTTGGAAAATCTAACAAAAAATGATAATATTATTTATTTAAATTGGTTTACGTCATTTCATCTTTATATCTTTATATATATTGTATCTGTAAAAAGTTGAAATAAAAATAAAAAATATATATTATATCAAGGTAAGTTTTCGGGGTAAGATATCCGGATGAAAGAGAAGTACATAACAGTATATTATTATCATTTACAGTGGCTGATGTTGACGTTGATGATCTCGTTAAAATGACAGCACTTGTGGCAAAGGTGTATATAAAAGACTGCATCGCCGAGTGCTGTGACACTGTAACTAAGGTAATGATAAGAAATTTGCTGATATGTAATATTTGGCCTTAATTGTTCGATATATAATGAACCACAATTGTCCTTTCTTGTAGATTTTGGAGGCCTGTCTCATCTGTTCTAATGGAGTGACATGTCAACGAGTGTTCTGTGTATTTTGGGATTACAGATCCCATCTGAACTATATCAAACACAATGAACTCATGTTGCGTCTCCTTCTGAAGCATCTGCGCTTGCCCAGTTCCATTTTATGTCCGGCAAATGGAGAGATCCTCGATGGAATGTTAACGTTTGCAGGAAAAATTGGACTTCAATTCGCAGTTGTTTCTTTTAAAAATTGGGACATCCTTTCAGAAACGTTTGATATGCATCATTTGTCCATCATATTCAACACAGCATGCCTTGCGTTGAAGCCGCCACTACCCGATGACGTCCTAGACGCTTTGGTGTCATATCTCTGTGCAGCATTCCACCACGATCTCGAATGCATGGATGTACTCAAAGCCATTCCAGAAGGACCAAGACGAAAAAGAGCGCTGGAATCCGTCTACGTCAACGCCGATAACTACTCATGCCAGGCTCTGTTTCATGTAGCGAGAGCAGCAGAGGATAACAACAGCAGTATTCCCTTATCTGACTGTAACATTTTAAGTGATTTGGGACATCAACTACTGCAGAAGGCATTTGGGAGATATTGTAATCCGACAAATGCTGATATCTTGCAGGGCCGCTGCCTGCTGACTAGTCATTGGGTATTAGACGTCTTGAATTGGTTCTTCTGTAGAATCTCGGAGATCGGGACTGAAGAGCGTGCTGCCGGGGATCAGTTTCAAACCTTCATGCACTCAATAGGAAATATCTTCAAATTTGAAACCCAGCTGTCGTTTCTTTCGCATATGCAAAACTCCCCAAGTTTACTGTCCGCCATCAGGGAGGTCGTGTCAGAAGGAGGTGACATCAATATAAATCCCTATTGGTATACTTGGTTCAGCACAACGTAATTGACCATGCACGTTCATACATTGCTTTTCTCATTGGAACAGTTGGTGAATACATTAAATCAACAGATGACAGTAGAATATGTTTTACGTTCATTGTGATAAAATGCACATTTCCTTCTGTCTCTCTTTGCTTTACGTCTGACTTTTGTTATTTTATCAAAAAAACGGTTCAAGATAGCAATAAGCATATGAAGACGATATTTATGTACAAAATAACTTAATTTATTCAAACTTCAGAATCAAATTATAAAATAAATACAAACAAACTCACAGGGGTTATCATCCTAAGTATCAGAACACGACGAACGCGGAGCATCATGGCATATGTGTTGCCAGCCTAAAGGATAGAAAACGGTGTGGTTATATGTTGTATATATTAAACAAGCAAAAAATCGTACCTTTAATACAAATATGTTTACTAATGTGATTGTCTGATTCGTATTTCAGTCAGAGAAAAATTCTGGTTTTGAAAGGTATCGGGATTTTTTAAAAAACCTTTTTGCTTATCAAATTATTATAATTCGAGGTATAGGTAACATTCAACTGACCTACAACGCAACTTGCATCTCAACATTGTCTTCCACTGTTAAATATCTGTCAATGTTTTGTTAAACATTTTAACAGTCACTTGGAAATGAATTGTTACTATTAACTTCCATCTGAATTTATATTTTGACACTATAATATGACTTTTATTTTACGTTTACTGTCTTACTAATGCTGCTTTACGTTATTATAGTTACCGTCATATATTTGTTTCCAATGAAGTATGTATTATGTTGTTTACGCAGTAGACACGAGTTATCGCGCTTAGGCAGATAAAGCGTAAAACAGAAAAAAATACCGCAACGACGTTTTCTTGCTATTTTACGTTTATTTTCTTACTGATACTACTGTTATTTATAGTTACCAAAAACAAGAAAACTCACGTTCACTAGCCTGGTAACTAAATAGAAAACATATACTACAGCGTCACCACACAAAAACAAACGTGCCACAGAATCAACACACAGGGACAATTTATGCTGCAGAGAAATATATAGAACAACAATACTACAGCGTCACCACACAAAAACAAACGTGCCACAGAATCAACACACAGTGACAAAGAAAACCACATCATTTTCAAAAGAAAAAATCCTGCAGAGAAGTACAAACAACAGAATACATCAGATCGACGTAAACCAGCAAGGGCAGAATATCAGAATATCACAGTGACAATCACATACAAGGACTCTGACTCATCAATTGGTTCCTTATTCCGGCTTCGACGAGCTTGGATAACCTTCTAGCTTGAACGTTATAGTTGAACTATAAACTTTATAAAGATTTGATTGCAAATGGTTAAGACTAGTTGAAGATTCTACTTTTTCTATACGTTCATTTTACACCCTTATAATTAATTATTTTTTTAACTTTTTGAGTGATCTCTGGCCAGCGAGCATGACATATATAGAACTTATTACCGAAAGAATATCTAACTGCAAAAACCCATGAAATACTTTCGAAGTATAACGTAAAAAAATAAACTTGTTTAAGAGAAGAAAAAAAAACATTTATTGGAAAAGACAGCCAAAGAATCTTAAATGTATACTATGCAAGTCAAACTCTGACAAATAGTGAGATTTTACTTCGTTTCTTTTAAAGATTTGAAAACGTTTGAAATAAGATTGAAAATGAATTGTAAACTAAGAAATGTATTTTAACTGACAGTGTGTAAGAGATGCTCCGGGTTGTGCACAAGCCAATCTGGTGAACTACGGCTGAGAAAGG